TATTGATGCGGCGTGACATCCCACTACCACTACGATCAAGGCTTTATAAATCTGTGATACGTCCGGTGTTGTTATATGGTGCAGAAACATGGCCAATGACAACCAAACTGGAACAACAACTTCAACGAACCGACATGAAAATGCTCCGATGGATGCAACGAATTAGTCTGAAGGACCACATCAAATCTACCAAAATCCTGCGTCGTGCTGGTTTAGTAGATATAATGGACGAATGCCGGCAACACCGTCTGCGGTGGTTTGGTCATGTCAAACAAAGTGGAAACAGTGCCATAACTTCTCTTGCAGATGTTGAAGTACCTGGCACACGTCCCAAAGGTCGTCCAAAGAAGTCCTGGTCGCAAATACTCGAGCAGGACATGAAAGCTCTAAATTTAAATGAAATGGATACAACTGATCGTCTAATTTGGCGCAAAAAGTTTATGGCAAAGGAAACAACGTCCTACCTCGGGAAACCGGGTTTCTGGACGCAAAACGAAGATTGATTGATTGATCGATAGTCTGAACCCAAATATATACATATATATTAAGAAACATTTTTATTATTAAGCGCTTATTAAACAATTTCATAAGCGTTCTCTCAAAAATAAAACAAAATGTTATACGTGACTGTTCATGAAACGAAAATCAAAGTAACAATTTCAGCAAAAATAAAAATGTCTATAAATATAAATATATATATATTGTATATATATATATATGTATATACAATATTGTATGAATTCTACCGAATTGTTGGCCTTATCAATTTAAAGTTTGTCTTTTCAATTTTCCTTACTAGAATTTTCTGGAAATTTCTGAAAATGGTTTTTTGGGGGTTACTGATATCTATTAGCATAGCTTCTGCAATTTTTAGATGCATTGTGTTTTGATAAATTATTTTTGTGTTGTTGTCAAAAATTTGGCAAGTTATTTGAGTTGCATGTGTTGATTGTAAGTGAGATTTAGTTGTTCGTCTTTAGGAGTGCAGTTGTCCTTCAGGGCCATTTGTGATGTCTTACAATTATTGTAGTATACCCTGAGTTTTAATTTATTAGTATGTATCACTGATTGTTGTTACGTTTCTTTTTATGATTTGTTTAAGGACGAATTTGTCTATTTTATGTGCCGATTTATTTTATGTGACATGATTTCTATAATATAGGATTATATTACATTACATAGGATTATATTGTTATTGAATATATTGCTATCTTCCACCATTTAGAAAGATCATTGTTGAATTGTCTTTGTTGAATGGTGCTTTCAATGAATGATGTTTTGTAACCATTGCTTTTCTTTTCAATTCCGTATTGCGATCCTCAGTTGAGGACGAATGCGATTCATAAATGATTTTATTTTAGTTATTTTGAATTTTTCGTGCATTTGCTTAGCCCATTTAAACCAATAACTTTATTTGTTGCTTTGACATCGAATGGTGTCTATCACATCAACTCAGACAAAGAAAAATATGACCAATATGAAAATGCTCCGAAGGATGCAACGTATTAGACTGAAGGACCACATCAAATCTACCGAAAGCCTGCATCGTGTTGGTTGTTGGTTTAAATGATATAAAGCCTGTTGGTTTAAATGATATAAAGAACGAATGCCGGCAACACCGTTTGCGGTGGTTTGGTCATGTCAAAGGAAGTGGAAACAGTGCCATAACTTCTCTTGCAAATGTTAAAGTATCTGACACACGTCCCAAAGGCCGTCCAAAGAAGTCCTGGTCGCAAACAATCGAACAAGACATGAAAGCTCTAAATTTAAACGAAATGGATACAACTGATCGTCTAATTTGGCGCAAAAAATTGATGGCAAAGATATATATATATATAATTTTCCAATCTAGAAATAAACTAACATTTGGAGAAAATAAGAAATTAAAAAATATGACTAAGTGGCTAATAGGAGATCATGATAAGTGGGTGTTTGTTTGGCAATCGTGATAGATGTGAGTGAGTGGCTATTAGAGATTAGGATAGATGTGTGGTGAATAGGAGATCATGATAGATGAGTGAGTGGTTATCAGGCGACTTTGTACAACAAGTACAAGGTACTGGACAAGTTAAAACAAACTTAAGCTAACAATTGACTATACAACAATAATGAAGATTAACAATCAGTCAATTAGGGGTTGTAATAATATAAGAGGTGATAACAACGAATCAACAAATGAATGAAAGTACAAATGCACCTCCTTGACACTGATAACATCGGGTAGGGTGGGTCCCTGGGTGTCAACAAACATGTTGTTGGTGCTGCTGTTGTTTAACAGGGTCGAACCCGGGGTGCCGGGGGTTAGGACGTGCATCTCCTCTGTGTACTAATCAATATCACCATCATCACTATCGTCATCATCACCATCATCATAAGTATCATCAAAATCAGTGATTAGAAATGATTAAATATTTTTTCAAATAAAATGTTACAGTACAGCTCTTATAAAATTATCTGATGAGATGTTGTATGATTATTTGACGAGAATGTTGCATGATTATCAATGCATGGTACCTTCTCAATGTAGGGCACAGGCACAAGACCAGTCAGTCCCTTCTCGTTAGCAGCGAGCCACCACTGCTCCTCATCTTTCCTTATTATCGTCAGTATGTCATTTTTCTCAAATGGCAAATCATCTGGATCCTTCAAGTTCAAATCATTTTAATCTAATTTTTGTCAAATAAAAAACTTTAAAAACAGTAAAAATATAATGAATAGTGAATTTAAGCAAAAAAATTTCAACTTTTTAAAAACCATAATGACTAACACGGCCAGGAAATTTATATTTTGCTCTGTACTTTTGTCTCTGGGCCTGAAAATTTAATTCAAAATTAACTTCTAACTTTATCTGCAGTCAAATGTAATAGCTGTCCCAGATTCATCTTCCTTTCAAAAACTATTTAACAAATATTAGGCATTGTAAACATCTTTGCAACAGATACAAAAATTGAAATGTATTGATTAGATAGAATCTATGTTACACCACTAAATTTATTCTGATTTTCATTTTATTTTGATTTTTTAAATATGTTAATTTATATTTAGGTAATAGTTTTTATTCTTGTTCATTGCATCAATATCTTATTTCACGTTTTAATATTAGCTTTCTACATGATTCTACATTTTAGGCTTCGATGATGGCATTAGTTGAAACAGCCCTCAGCTAAATTTAAAAATTAAATAAAAATGAATCCAAAAAACTTCATTATGTGGAAATTTTGTTTCAAAAACTAAAAAGTGCAAATGGAATATTATCTTAAACTGAAGATGAACATGCTTATCTGAAAATCTCACACCATATTATAAATAAATATATTATTGTTTTCATTTATTTCCTCTGTCCGTTGTCTCCAGCCAAAAGGGGTCAAAATGACCTGTTGCCATCCCTTTCTGTCTTTTGCAATCTCTCCTAGTGTTACTCTGGTTCTTCCAGTAGTTCTTCCGTGTAATGAAGCCCATCTCTTTCCAAATCTTGACTAAGACACTCGCTCCATCTCATTTTATGTTTGTCTTTTAATCCCTTCATCTCTGGTAGATACTTCCAAACTTTCTTAGATGTTCTGAACTCAAATGTCCTGCCCACTTCAATCTCCTCTTCTTTATTACATCACTAATATTCATTTGTCCTGTTTTTTCTTGGTTTCTTCATTTGTGACATGATTCTTGTGGCCAATTCGCATCAATTTTCTAAAATGAGTCTTTTGAAAACTTTGAGGTACAGTCTCTGAAATATTCCTCCTCTTCAAATTCTCCTGTATTCCACCTGCCTTGTTAACACGACTCCTTAATGATTTGATTCGATAAAAACAACTGACATATGTGTACATATAAAATTTGACCCATCAAAATACAGAGAGAAGCATGAAGAAAATGCTAACAGGTCGTCTGAGTGGGGTGGTGTCTAAGCAATGTGATTTATAAAATTTGAGGAGGGCAGATAATGTCGGAAACTCTTGGTCCCCAATTCGAAACCTGACTGTGCCGGCTGAGTTTATTCTGTTGACTATGTAGTGGCTTATCTTGTTGTCCTCCCTAAGTTATGTTAATTTAAGAATTTATCAAAATTTGAATTTTGCAAACAAATAAGAACAATGTTAAAAATTTTACAGAACAGGAAAAATGAAAAAACTGACTTGACACAAACAACGAAATCGCCTTTGATTGATGTACTATCTCTCACCAAGAAAATACCATTATCCTGTTCTGATTGGAGTATGCTATTGGCCTCCTCCCTCGATACTGTCCCAAAGTACCAACTGCACAATTTTTTACAGATTTTAAATGTAGTACCACAAAACTTAAATATGAACAAAAAAATGTACAGAAACTGGAGACATAGAAGCCTTAAACAAGAAAATCGAAATGTTTATTGAAGTGTGTGACAAAATAGTGAAAAAAGAAAGGTCCATATTGCAATCAATACAATGGGTTATCTATCATTTAAAAAATAGTTGAAAATATAAATTAGTTAATGATGTTGTTCCTTGAATAAATAGAATAGTGAATTAAATCATCTTTTCAAAAAAATTTCTAAAACAGTGAGCACATAATATAAATAACAGCAAGAGGCTGACGTAGGACAATATAAAAAAATAGATTAAATTATTTTTAGTTTCATTTTTGTGAACAAACAATGATAAAGCTTTAAAATGGATGATGTATGTATTGGCAGTAAGTGAAGCATTGATCGTTTTCACTAACACAGGTAATATGGTAGAGGAGTCAACAACAGTGGAAATGTAAACTAAATGAACAAGAGGAACACCATGCTACCATCTGACATTATCCTTTACTTACATTTACGTCACATATTTCAAAGACTATTTTATGAAACCTTTTCCTCTTTACTTTACACTTTTCAAATGTGAAATTAGACAACACTTCTTGAAGCATAGTTTATTATGGAATTGAAATTTATGTGGTTTTGTAATGAAGGCTTTTTGGACAAGAATACAAATTTCCAAAGTTTTATTTCATTGCCATTGAAAGTATGTAACACACATATATTGGTAACTAATGAAGCAACATTTTTATGTGAGGAACTAAAAAACATCAGGGTTGTGGTACTGACCCTGCACCATCTTTCTTGATCAAAGAATTTTCTGGTATTCTGATGCCATATCTATGTGCATTATGTAATGCATCACTACAATTGTCATGTCTGCCGGAGAGTTAAAAAAGGGCTATCATACTTCCTAAGCTAAAAAAAGCTGGTTCCGATGCGAGTGATGTTAAGAGCTATCGGCCGATTTCACACCTCACATTTGTTTCCAAGCTCATTGAAAAATTGGTGGCCAAACAATTGATCGCATACCTGAAATTAAACCGACTTTTCCATGAACTTCAATCAGGTTTTTGCTCTGGACACTCAACTGAGACAGCGATTCTAAAGGTCCTCAATGATGTTTATGAGGCTATTGATTCTGGTAGTATCTCTCTCTTGGCTCTGCTCGATGTCAGAGCTGCTTTCGATATGGTCAACCACAAGCTGCTTCTTGATCAACTTGCAAAGTCATATGGCTTGGGTGGAATGGTCCTTGCCTGGTTTGAATCCTATTTGTCTGACAGATCACAAACGGTATGTGTTGATGGCTCTGATCCTGCTTCCTCCCCACTGTTGAAAGGAGTTCCACAGGGACCCCTGCTCTATGTTCTCTATACGGCAGATATTGTGGAAGTTGTTGAGTCATCGGGTTTGAAATGTCACCTTTACGCAGATGATATACAGCTGTATAGTTACTGTAAAGACAGGAACTAGCGGACAGAACTCAAACAGGTGTCAGAACTGTCTCAGAATGGATGCTGGCAAATGGATTGAAGCTGAATATTGACAAGACACAATACATCTGGTTGGGTACTCGTCAAAAATTAACTGGTATTCAGGAATATGTAGAGCCAGTAAAAAATCTTGGTGTTTGGATAGATCCTGAATTGAAGATGAATAAACATGTGAAAAATGTCTGCCGATCATGTTTTTACCAATTGCGCCAAATCAGACGTATAAAAAAGTACCTGACAAATGAATGCTTAATTTCATTGATGCACAGTTTCATTTGTGGAAGAATAGATTACTGCAGTTCAATCCTCTATGGCACAAGCATGTATCTTCAAAACTGCATACAGTCTATTCTGAACACTGCAGCAAGAATAATTGCTGGTGTAACAAAATATGAATCTGTTTCATCATATATGCGAAATGAGCTTCACTGGTTGCCAGTTTGTTATAGAATCAAATTCAGAATAGCAATGTTTACAAGAGACAGTTTGATGGGGCTTGGTCCTCGATACCTTCAACAGCTGATCATGCCTGTCCCTACGGCTGCCGGGGGGCGAAAACTAAGATCCTCTGCCAAAAAGAAACTCGTTGTTCCTAGGTTCAGGACAGAAAATTATGGACGGCGTCGTTTCTCTGTGGCTACAGCGGAGGTTTGAAATAAACTGCCGGATGCTGTCGTTGATAGTATGGATGAAAGAGTCATGCTCCGAAAACGACTTAAACATCACTTTTTTGACCGGCAGCTTCTCGAACAGCGCCTCTGAGTTTTACATAGAGGGGTGCTATATAAATTCTCCATGCCATGCCATACCATCATAAGTGTGGGAAACCGTAGCAAAAAGAAAAATGGAATGAAGAATGCTTCAATCAATCACAAGGAAATTAGATTAGCTAATTAAATTAATAAATGATGAATGAAGGATATTGAAGGATCACAGATATGTGATTTTGGCTAAACAAAGCAAAGGTTGATTGACAGATATGTGATTTATAAATTAAAAATCACAACATATTTAATCCAATTAAAATATTATATCCAACCAAATTTTTATAGCCTGTTTTTATTTATTTAGCTTAGCCATTGATGATTTCATGGCCAGCATCATAAATTTAATAAATTTTTAAACAATAATAAAATAAATAAATTTAAAATAGCATCTAATTAAAATTTGTTTTAGTTAATATGGATTTGTGGACAATTTATAAATTTAATACAAATGTGAATTATTATAGAACTGAAGCCGACGGACCCCCAATCAACAAACCTGTTTTTATCTTGTGGATCAAATTCTGACATTTTTACATAATAATGAAAAAAATTAATAAATAAATATTTAAACTAAAATCGTGAAGAAAATTTTTTTTAGAAACAACGGACTGTGTAGACCAAAAATTGAAACGTGATCTTTGAAGATGAATTAATCAAAATGTCACTAAACGACTTTCAGTCACGACCGTCATTAAAACTTTTGAACGTTAATTTCTAAATTGCTTCCTCAGTCACAATAATCAAAATGGCCTAGCATAGATTTTATATGATTAAATATTTTGCTAATATGTTTTATTTGTTTAATTTTTTAATTAAATATATATTATTATTTTTTAAATGTTTTTTAAAAAACATTTTTATTAAAATTATAAACAACTAAATATTATTTTAATAAATAATATTTGTTCTTTGTAAACACAACTGGTGGTTTTCCTTTTCCCTACGTGGTATTGCTGGGTGAGCGTTGTTGGAAAAGAATTTGATCTGATCGAAGTTGAAAGATGTCTGAAAGGTTGGTTGCTCTTTATCATATTAAAAGCCGCTTTGATTATTATTATTAGTCGGTTGTTAAGATTTTTGTCAAGTCCTAGCCTGGCCTTGCAGAGGTAAACTGGTAAAGTAAAGTAATCCTCTAGTAGTCCTATCTATCTCTAAAAAGCAGCAACTCATTGGATCAGACGGGGGCGGAGCCAATTTGCTATTGTGACCTGGTTTAGTCATTGTTATGTTGGGTTGACGGGGCAGCTGAACAGATGTGTGGCATCACCAAAATGCTGATGGCAGAATGGACAGATGTTGCTGAACCCACTGTCATTTTGGATTTGTAGCTGCCAGGAAAGATGTGGCCAGAGCAGGGTTGGGCTAGCTCCGGTCCTTCTTGATTGAACTTTTTTCTGACATGTCTATTTTGACCATCCATTAATTAAGCAGTACCAAAGCATGGCACGAATTGACGATGGACTAAGCAACATTGTTGTCAGTCTGTCATTGTCAGATGGTAAATATCCAACTCTGAACCCTCAAAAAATCCAATTCCTACTTTGACCCCTCAAAAAATCTCTCTGGTTAAAAATATCCGACTTCAGGTTCAAAATGCCAAAAAAATTTTTCAACTTTTACATCATAATTTCATCTTATCACTAGTAAATATATGAAATGCTTAAAAGTCAATGTAATTGTTTTTCATATTAAAATTATTTTTATATTTTAAAGTATGGGCGGGCAAACTACAGCCATTAAGCCATTTTATGTGGCCCGTGAGATTTTATACATATTTTGGCCCTATTATAAGCTAAAAAAAGTCCAGTGGCAAATGTTGCTTCTGCAGTTGTTTTGAATCAGTGCTGTTGCAGCTACAAATCCAGTAATCAACCTATCTAATCTAATCTTTCTTATTCAATCTTCTCTAAACTCTTCTAGTCTCGTACTTCTAAATCTGAATCCTTTCTGTTCTGTTACTTATTTTAATTTTTTTATTAATTTAAATTTTAAATTAAAAGTTAATTAATAATTTTAACGACTATTACAACACTACCTAATCTACTGCACACACGCACCAACTTAAAAAAAATTACTCAAACTATGGAAAAAGCAATAAATAGAGGAATAATATAATATATAAAATGACTTGAGCTTTTGCCACCACTTTCGGTGACTTTTTTATGTTATTTATTTCAATACTAATTTATTTCTAGGTACATTCCTCATAAAGTTCCTGAAGTTATCCTTAAAAAGAAAAAGAAAAATGAGATAAGCAAGGCCAAATCTGTTGCCAATGAAATCAAGAATAAAGTAATTTTTTCAAATTTTCTATACCTTTAACAAAAATAAAACAAATTGTTATTCACTGAATTTCAACTCTCATCAAAAATAAAACAAATTCTTATTCACTAAATTTTCAACTCTCATCAGACAAAAAAGGAATCCATCTTAAAAAGAATAAGATTCAAGAGAGCTGAAAAGTTTGTTAAGGAATACAGATCTCGAGAGAATTTTGACATTCAAATCCAGAGACGAGCCAGACGAGCCAACTTGTACAAAATTCCAGTTGACCCAACTTTAATTTTCGTTGTCAGGATCAAAACACCACTTGATTTGCATTTGAGGGCCAGGAAAGTCTTGAACCTGTTGCGGTTGATAACTCCAAATACAGGCGTCTTCTTAAAGCTCAACACAACAACATTGAAGTTATTGAGACTCATTGAACCTTACATCACTTGGGGGTTTGTTATTTTTTTATTCACATATATGTTCAACTGAGTTTTTCACATTCATTCTGAAGCGTCTACCACTTTTGTAATTTTTTTTCAGAACTCCTAATTTAAAGTCAATTAGAGAATTGATATATAAACGAGGTCATGCAAAGACCAAAAATGGATTCAAATCTCTAAATGACAATAGATTAATCGAAGATCATTTAGGTTTTTATTTACATTTGTACATTTTTTTCTACTCAATTTCAGCGAGTATAGATCTTCAGCATATATTGCCTGTGTAAGTTGTTTCTACTAATTTCAAACTCATTGCAGGTCAGTATGACATCATCTGTATCGAGGACATTATCCACGAAATTGTCACACTCGGACCTCACTTCAAAGAAGTAAATGCCCTAATTTGGCATATAAAAATGAACCTTCCCACTGAAAGCTGGAAAAATTCTGGTCTGCCATTTAACAAAGAGGGTCAATATGGCGACCGAAAGGATAAAATTAATTCACTACTTGCTCAAATGGTGTAATTTTGGCTGTAATTTTAATAAACATTGTCTTGTTACTTTTGTAAATATTTAACATTTAGTAATGATTTTATTAAAAATCAACAAAAACAAAATATGTATTGGATTGGTGGTTTGTTAAATTTTATGTTTGGCATGTTATCAGAGCTGTCACAGCTTGTGGCATATATGTGAACGTTAAATCACATTTTGTTGGTGACTGAACTTAGTTGGAAGGTCCGAACTAACTTTATTAATCAGTTGTTCTCTCAGTTAACTTGGTTTCTTGTGTTTCGTTCTCGTTTTGCCTCGCTGCTTCTGATCAAATCTGTTTTCTTTCGCGTCGTATGCATCGCCGTATCTGCTTGTACCGCCATAAATGTTATTGCTGCCGTTGTGTTCATTGTAGGACGCTGGAGGTTTGCGTGATTTCTGGAAGAACGAATAATCTTCGTAATTATTGTTGTTATTATTTTTGTTTTGTTGGTCGTTAAAATCATCATCCTCTTCAAGCAGCCGTTCGTCTCGTTGACTGTTGTGCTTCTTTGTCGTTCTCACTTTGGCACCGTCACTTTCTGGAAGGTCGTCGTATGGAAGGTTCGAACGAAGTGACACCGGGCGTAATCGTTGTTGTTGTTGGCTGCTTGCTTGAGGTAGGAGATGCGTTTGTTGTGTTTGGTTGTATGATAGAGGTAGCTGATTGTTCACTGGCGCAAATGTTTGGTTGTATGCGAAATCTCTGGCTTTCAGTTCGCTGTAGCGTTCCATAAAATTTTTCAAGTATATTTGCGCAAGAGGAGAGGCTGCTTGTTTTGGATCAATTGAGGTTAACATCTGGTTGACGAGGTCAGGGTTAGCGCTCTGCATGTAGGCAGCGTTGGATGCTGTGTTGCAACTTTCCAGGATGTTCTGTAAATCCGCTTTCCTGGTTTTGGTGCAAATTATTTCAATAATAAAATATGTCAACGGCGCTATGATTGTAAGTGTGTATTTTAGTCAATAATTTTGTTGTTTCCAATTTGCTTGTAAGTTTGTTTAGGAACGCATTATAATTTGTTAAGCAAATATATCAATCAAGAAAGGTACTTTTGTATGTTGTCATATTCGTTCTGTGGCTGCTGAGACATTGTAACTTCTTTTGAACGGCTGCTAATCTTCATTTTTAGATTTATTTCTTAATTCAATATAACAGATAATATGATGAATAAAAATTAAACTAAAGAAGATCATTGTGATTCGTTTATATTAAAAATCAAATATTTTTAACAATGAACAAAAAATGTTTAACGTCCGTACAATGGGTTCTTCCTTCATAGCCATTCTTTCCCTCATTAGTTCTAAATTCTTTTCAGCTGTTTCGGCTCTTTCTATTATTTTTTCTACGGTTTTTTCTAATTTTTCTTTGGCGACTATTTCTTTCTCTTCAATACTTTTCACGTAGTTCAGTTGGTCTGTTAACTGCCTGAAATGTTTCAATGTGTTTTATAAACTGATCAATTGGTGTAAATGTTGCTAAAATAATTTAGGTTAAACGTCTATGAATTAATATAACCAATGTTAAAAAAATCGTTAACTTATTTTTATCTTCAAGAAGTTTTTCTTTTTCATTCAGTTTGTTCTTCAACTCCTCTAACTCCCTCCTTATCTCTCTGTTCTGTTCTTGCATTTTCGAGAATTCCTCTTCGATAGATTGGTTTTTTTCGGCCAGGCTTGAAAGTTTTTTTTCCGCGTTACCAATATAGTTTTCTTTGTTTTTGATTTCATCGTTCAACTGTTTGATCTGCTGCCAGCTCTGTTCAGTGTTCTTCATCGCCTCCATCAACAAGTACCTCTTAACCTGGGCCAACTGTTCAGCGTCTGAAAGTGATTGTAAGTCATTTCCTCTACCGATGTAGTCACGATTTAAAAAAAGTGGCAAAACTTCGCTGGGTTTGATGCTGGAAGTTAGCCTGGCGCCATCAGGAACATCGTGGCCAAAATGGCTTTTAAGGACGTGCTGTCTGAGTTCAGGCAGAGATGGGAAGACAGCTTCCTCACCTCCGCTCCGACATTTTGGACAATGGTACAGTGGCATTGATGATGACGATAAGGACGATGATTGTTGTGAAAAATTTGAAAACTCCATTGCATTATTTTGACTATTTATCTGCTGGTCATTAGCTTTATTAACGTTAATTTATGTATGCATAATAAACAGCGTTTCGTTGAAAGCATTTAAATAATTATGTTATACCTAATTATGCACCTCCTGGTGATGAGGTCACGAATCCTATTATGATGATAATTTACAATACTCGACGATGATTAAGATTATTTGTAAATAAACTAGCACAGTAATGCAACTATGAAGAAGGGAGACAAAACAACGAACGATTTTATAATGTTCAGTTTACCTCGAGATGACTGCTGCTGCTCAACTTGTATTAAAACTGTTCAACGATATAATCAATCAATACGAAGCAGATGGGTCGACTGTTTTTATTATTACTATTATATTTTATAGTATTATTATTGCTTTTTATCACCTCAAGCATGATAAATAATTTTTTTTTAATTTTTTTTTAAATCGCACGTGTCTTGTTGCCCCATACCATGTCACATTGTTTTTATTGTCTTAATATTTGTTGTGTAATATGTAATTATTAAATGGTTGACGTTTTTTGTTTACAGTTTAATTACATTGTAGTGCTTGGCTGCCTTGTTTGCATTGCATGTTGTTATGTTATGTTGCTCTTGTTCTTCTTGCTGTGCTGACTGGTGCATAAAAATCTTGATTGATCGCTTGCAAAGGTTCAGCAGGATTACGTGCGACAAACATTGAGCATCCTGATGGCGGCAGCGCAACATTCCATGCAACATTCCATGCAACACTCCGTTCATCTCGGACAACATCTTTCAGTCTTTTTAAGTTTCTCATGTTTTCAAATCCATTTAAATCCGTTTAAATCTGTTTCAATTTATTTATATTTGATTAAATAAAACTAACTTTAAACCGTTGTTTTCATTGTGGCTGAGTTTTTTTTTCTAGATTTATATATATATATATATATAATAATAGTAATAATAATAGTAATAATAATAATTATTATTATTATTAGAGTAGGAGTAGTGTTAGTGGAGGTAGTAGTGCATTAGTATAAACAAATACTATATATATATGAGTGTGTGTGTGTGTGTGTATGTTAAGTAAATGTTTTGTTTTGTTATCAATTCATCTGTAATATTTTTTCTTGTGTTTGCATGGCATTGTGTACTGTACTACAGAGCGTACAAGTATGCACACTTCCTGCATACGTTGGTACATACATACATTATTATTATTATTATTATTATTATCATAATTATTATTATTATTAGAGAATTTATCGTCCTTTAATATTACTCAGAAATGCTTCTTGAGCTTAGGGTACGTATGCGTGGAGAAAAATGTTTTCATGTCCTTGCGAAATTGTTGAACAGTCAATTCTGGCTGACGCAGACTGTCCGCAAATTGTTCCAAACTGTTGGACCTGCGAGTGCACAACCACGAGTGGCCGCCACCAACCGTGTCTCCGGCAACGACAGAAAAAATTTGTCGTCAGCTGTTGTTGTTTTATATGACAAATTTTTAGACAGATAGTGTGGGTCTAGACCGTTTAGGCATTTAAACACCAGAATGGCGATCTTGAACAATTATCTTTTTTTGATTGTTAGCTAACGAAGGTCAAATAGGGAGTGGCTTACATGGTCCAACTTCAATCCTTCAGAAATGATTTTGCCGCTCGATTCTGAATAGACTGCAGACTTCTATTGGACATCCCATACAAAACACTGTTGCAATAATCCAATTTTGAATAAACAAATGAGTGTTTTCTTGTCGAGAGATTTTTTTTGTCTAAGTCTTCGAAACTGAAAACAACATTCCTTAGAAAGTGCCCTGATATTCTGTCCACTGTCATAGTTTGGTTAAATATGATAACAAAATTTTTAACAGCTGTACATAAATCTTTGTAACTGCTGCCACGTATCGACAGGCAAAACCTGCGTCTTGTTTTCTTTCAGCTTTAACCCATTCTCGACCAAATAACCATTGAGTTCATTAAAATAAGAAATAAGAACCTACAAGCTCCTCGAAAGTGAGAACCGAAGTACTTGAACAAATCATCAGCAAACGCATGATATTTGAAGTTGTGTACAACATAAATGAACTGAGGAATTCCTGACGCGACAATCTTAACATCTGACAAAACTTTGTTGAAAAACACTTTGATAAAAACTAAAGATTTGAAATAGTATTTGAGGTTATCTTAATCAGGAGACGGCTTTTTCAACAAAAGAGTAACAACAGCGAGATTCCAAAAAGATCCCCCGCCAATCATATGCAATGTGTATGATGCGTGGTTCGCACGCGTATTCATATACGCTGTGTGTGTTTGTCGTTGAAACCTCTGAAGCAAACGCAAAAGAGAGAGAGAGAGAAACCTTTAACAGCATATTTGAAAACTTCAGAAAAATATCCAAGGCGCAAACACAAATTGATAAAAAATGTCAAAATGAGATAAAAAGAACAAAATATTGCTTAAGAATTCGCGTTAGAATAAATTAATTGATAAACGACTTATACGGTGAACTTAGAACCGATTTTTTGACATCTTCACCAGAACAAGGATCGAACGAGCAAAACGAACTTTTGGTGTCCAAATTGTAAGAAAAAAAAGCTGGTCTAGGATTTGCCTATTTTTGACTTTTTTGTTTGTTTGTCAAAACATTGAAAATTGAGATGAATTAAGTTTATTATTTGATTCAACACAGCTTGTAACGGATGATTTCCAAACAATATATCAATTGCGGCCCATAACTTCCTGAGACGATTTCTTACTCTGAACCCTAATCTTTGAGATATGAATTGTTCTTACCGACAAAAGAAAATTTTTATGTTGCAGAGCATTTTTCCAGGCCATTTTATTGGTTTTGCTAGGGTTGTGTCGACAAACTTTTTACAATTTACAAAACAATTTTTTATTTTTCTGCTATCCTTATCAAACCAAGGAGCATTGTGAGAATCGTTGTACACAATATAATGCAAAGGAGTTATTCTATCAACAAGTGATTGAATGTCATTTACAAATGAGTCGTAAATTACGTCAGGATCGCTGCCAGTAAACGGATCACCAATAGATCATTGCAAAAACATGATTAACAAATAGATTGCTTTTAATTCGATTTCATGATCGTACCAATCGTTTTAAAACTGTTGGCTTTTTATAAACAAACGAAAATAAAACTCTAATGAAACTGTGATCTGAATAAACAATGTTTGGAAAATTATTCAATCAGCACACGAAAAATCAACAAAAGATGCAACAAGATATATGTGTAGGTCTGCTGACACAATTAGAAACTTGGAACGTCTGTTCTGTTTTTCAAATGCATCCCCTGCCCGTCGTCGTCTTTAATAAACATGTTCAACAGATAACAACCAAGATAGCAAACTTTGTCAACAGAATTAATGAGAACGTCATCAGCCATCACGTCGGCTGCCGCCTATGGAGAAACAGAGTATGATTGAAATAAGGCTTCTGTCATTTTCATGCTAACTGTGAATTCAAATCTTTTGGTTGTATCGTAAAAACGGTTATACAGCGTCTGGACTTCTTGAGGCATTTTCATTTTTTTGTATTAAAATCACCCAAAGTTTTAAGGGAATTGAGGTGACAACGTCAGTGAGCTGCTTGTAAAACGAGTCCTTCATCAGTTGAGGAGATATACCACACGGAGTTTCACAAAGTGCTTTTAATAGCAAGCTACGAATGGCATTTATAACTCCATACTCCTTATATTCGGGTTTCCGAGGGGCTTGGAACATTTCCAACTCTCATGAAAAACCCTCAGCCAATGAGTACTTTCACAAATGGGTGGATTATAGTGAAGTATGTTCGCCCGGCATACTCCACTCTTTCTTCCCGCAGCGATCGTTGACAGCAGGCACAGCAAGTTGCGACGTGCTGACTAATCTAGGCAGGCGCAGCAGCTTGACTGAGGCTGTGACTGGATTGGTGCAGCAGAATTGCCCTTAATCTAGCCAGCTGCAAGTGTTAATTTGTTGTTCCGCCTATTCTACAGTTGTCTGATTCAAATATTTCAGACCCTCTCCCAAAACTGCCGAATTGCATAAATGCCAGAAATAATTTTTCCTTTGGGTTTATTTCCATACCCTTATTCGATCCGTTAATGGCCGCAAGGTAGCAGAGGTTTGAATTCAGAGTTTCCTTTTTTTAGGTAGATGGCCAGTCAAGGCTAACAAACACCACCTGCCCTGAACGACTGGTTAAAGCGAAAGTTACTCGCCGTCGCAATTTCTTTTTAGTTTAAACAGCTTCGCCACGTGAAGTCCAGAAAGGAGTAGGACTTGATTGATCGGGGTGTGAAACCCACTGCCAGTGGGAGTATTTTTTAGTAGAGAGGATTTCAATTCGGGATTTCAATTCCCACCCCCGCTCCCAGCTTTATCAACCCATTTGAAGCCATACGTACATACAATGTGTGTATGTACACACATACATACATACATGCACACGTACATACATACACAAATACATATAGAAATGTTTTCGCATCTTCTTTGATCACTGCTTCTTCGGCAATAAAAATAATAACAACAACAACATCAATAACAAATAATACAAATAAGAATAAATAAAAAGAATAACAAATAATAACAAAAGGAAATAAAATGTAAAGAAGAGAAACTTGAACTGAACGACTCATACACACAAAACAAAAACACACCATACACCGACACACACACCACACACACCACACACACACATTGACGGTGAAGTTATAATTGATGTTCTTTCATCCGCTTGAGTTTTTAAATGTTGTTCATTCATTCATTCATTCATTTAATTGATTGATTGCATACTTGTTAATAATGAATAAAAGTAAAAATTCAGATATTAATAATAACGATCATAACTACTACACTACTGCTTCTACTACTATTACAAATACTACCATTACTACTACAAATACTACTTCTACTACTACTACCATTACTGCTATTACAACAACTACTACTACTACTATTACTATTACTACTACAACGTCAACAACAACAACTTCTACTACTACTGCTACTTCTACTACTACTATTACTACTACTTTTTCCACTAATTTTACTACTACTACTATATAATACTACCAATAATATTAACAACAACATCAACGCTAATTATAAAACAATAAATAGTACATGGAATGACTGATATGATAAATAATGGGAGTGAATGCGTGTATGCGCGTGCAGAACTGACCTGAATAACTCATCTGCACTAATCAACACGACAGGTGAATGATTTGGTTGTGGTGTGTTGTTTGTGTGGTGTGTTGTTTGTGTGGTGTGTTGTTTGTGTGGTATATGGTGTATTGTTGTGTGGTGTGGTATGTCTTGTTGTTGTTGTGGTGTGTTGTGTTGTTTTTTGTGGTGTGTTGTGTTGTTTTTTTGTGGTTTAATGTTGTGTTGTTATGATACTTTCTGTAATTATAAATAATATAATTAAATACACGTGAATACATATTTTTTTTTCATTCATGTCGTACTTTCATGAATAGATGAATGTACTCTGTCCTTTTATATATTATATCCGCATGTATGAACGGACAGTACAATGTGGTTGTTGGATTTGAATGTATGCTGGTTTATTTATTTATTTTTTTTTGGTTTTGTTTTATAGTATTTCTTCATTA